ACAAATCTAGTTGGTATACAGGATCCGCTTTTTGCCACGGACCGACACATGCTCAATCATTCGCGGAACAAAATGGTCATTTGTTTGATTTATCGATGCAATAAACAATTTACTGCAGTGAAATGGCTGAGAGCGCTGTTTATAGAGCGATAATGCCATATACGCCCATTGGAAGTGTGAACGGTGCGGAATTTGTATGATTATGCGAAATTATGGTGATTAGAACGGCGGAACAGCGGTGATTTATTGGTGTGGCGTTGGAATGTTCTAAAAAGCATACAGAAGACTTCTGTGGTCAGCAGCTGGACTCTTCAATGTTTACTTTGAAGGAGATGTATCGATTTATTGCAGTTTGTAAACTATTTAATCACCCACCGTCATCCGCCATATTAGGCGGTCGTAAATTGAAACGGAAAAAAAGCGTTTGGATGCACCTGGATTGTCTAAATGTAATCAAGCAAGAAAATATCAAACTTAATTATAAAAAAGCCATTGAATACTTTCCTTAAATTTTATCACAATGAAATGAAAGAAACAATTGTTTTCTCAAATCGTATTGGCGTACAAAGTGTTCGATTCCTTATCCAAAAAGCAATAAAACGCCGAACATGGCAACAATGGCATTATTGTGGAATACCTTTGGCCTTTTAGAGCATTATTGGCTAGCACCGACGCGCTAATTGGGTAACACTGTCAGCCCTCTCATCTACAAATCGAAAACTCTTGAAACGTTTTACGGCACTATTGCAAATAAATAAAAACATTGTCAAAAAGTTTCTTCGCTGAATACATCACTATTAAATTTCACTCGGCCACTTGTTCGTATATTCAATGCGGTTTTTATTCACGCTTTTAATGCCACTATTATTATTCATTAGGTCGTTAACGTTATCTTTAACGCGATTTAGAACTAATATGAAGTAATAGCCGCGATGAATTTATATGGAACTCGTATTTCAAGGATACGTCTTGCGTTATAGGTACTGTACTTTTGCGTACTGTTCGCAAATATATGGAGTCGTTATGCACAAGTTATGAACATAAATTTGCACTTCGTAAATAGGATGCAAGTAGTTCGGTTTTTGATGTCTGTTTCGAACTTAAGGCGATGGAATATTTTTGTAAGTATCTTCTCTTCGTATGTGAACAATAAATATTTAGGGTACATATATAGAATTAGATAATAATTGTGAATATAAATTATGTTTTATCTATGTGGCAAAATTATAACATAATTATAGCGGTGAAAAAGGTTTTGAAGTTGTCACATATGAATAAAACCAGCTTGTTTTTGTACTTAACTTTTAGTACAGATTTAGAAAAGTTGTCATTACTGGATTATAAAGAAAAATGAGATGTTTTAAGTTTGAGTTAGTTATATCGTTGTACATTTAAAACTCCGTCGTAGTCTGCTCTCCCGTTAGTTTTAAGTAAATCATCACGCAAAATTTGAATTGAAAAGGTATTTGAGATGTGGATTTTAAAGAAACTCTTACTTTTTCGGCAAAGAAAAGAAGAAGGTTAATCAGCTTTAGAGGGCTCCGGAGCCTTTCATGGTAGATCCCAGAGTACTTTCGAAAGTATGTAGGATGGGCACCGATTGAGCTTTAGTGGGTGGTAATCCCACGTAACCCTCAGGAGGAACGGTGGGCTTTTGAAGATTTTCTCCCCGATACCAATAAAAAGAATTTTATCAGTTTTGTACAAACACAGTAAATTAAGAAAGTCCATGAAAAAAATACTCTTTGAGATGACAGGTCTACAAATACGGATAGGAAAAAAACGATATTTTGCAGTGACCACAGTAAAAAGGTGTAAAGCAACTAAGAGAATGATAACTGATAGTAATATTTAATTAAAACCTTATTCTATCTGTTCTACTCATGAAAGACTCTCTGGCTTTTGAAGTAACCTGTCATTTTGGGGTCTTTAATTAACAACCTTTTCTTTTCCAATCAATATTTAAGTGGTTTACTATAGAAGGGCCACGCAATGGCTTCTGCTGTTGCAAGAGTGGGCAGGCTCCAGGGAAGTAACACCACCTCACAGAAAATTAGCGTGAAGTAGAAGGATTATACGTCGTGGCTTGTCTGGAATAAACAAAAGAGCTTTTTGCAAATTTAAATTTTTGTAATGCTTATCTCTGCACAACAATAAAACATTAAAATTTGCCTGAAAAAAAAAGAAAAAACAATGCAGATACAGAACGTTGACTTTTTCATCGGTATGGCAATCAGCCGTTTAGCTTAGAGGCTAAAGCGTCAGGGCGCAAATCCCGAAGACGTGGGTTCGATTCCCACAGCGGCGAAAAACTCTTCGTACTTTTTTCTACAAATTTTAATGTTTAATCCTAAGTTTTTAAGTAACAAATTTTATTAAATAAGAGTTTGTTGCGGTAAGCTTGTTAAAACATGAAATTTTTAATATTTTAAGTAAAGAATAGAGGTTTGTCATCTTATCTGATTCTAAATGTATGTCGCTGTTCTGCATCAGGCATAAACAGATGTGTGATAGCAGGCGTACACTTCACAGCCAGACTCCACCACCACCACGTCTAAAGAGCCGTAACAGCTTTCTCAGACAGCCTAGCTTAAATGAGAGGCTCGCTCCAAAAGCTAGGCTGGAACGGTGGAATAAAAAGTACCCTCCTAAATACCCTGCAAGTTTGCCTCCTGTTGAGAGGCTCCCCCCGGGTGGTGATCTTCCCTGGGCAATTTGGAAGTCCCTGAACAGACTTCGATCTGGTGTAGGAAGATGCCACGATAACATGGTGAAGTGGGGTTTCTCCAACGACAATAAATGTCACTGTGGCGAGATCCAAACTATGGCCCACCTGCTGCAATGCCCGTTGTGTCCCTCCTGCTGCACCCACGAAGACCTGCTTGAAGCCAACTCTGCTGCGGTGGATGTGGCCAAATACTGGTCGAACAAGATCTAGCTAGCTATTTTGACTCGAAAAGAAGAAGAAGATCAGGCATTATCTCCAAGTCTCTGAAGACTCTATCAAAATTCAAGTGTTTTAATGGATGCCTTCGAGTGTGATTTGGCCCCTTGTTTCAATACGGTTTATAAGTGTAATTAATACGGTTACTGAAAAAGCTCTTGTGATACGGGCAATAGAAGACAAAAATGTCGTCTAGTCCAAAAGCGAAGTGGTATTTCCAATGGGTCCAAATTGATCGGATAATTTGCACACTATTAATATTTATTGCAACCTAAGTGACGATTGCCTTCAATTTTCACGCTCGGCGAAGGCTCGTTAATCAAATATTGCTCAAACTTAACATACATATCGAGTTTCACGAGAGAAAATAACGCCGTAGAGCATTAACAATTCGCTCTCGCAAAAGTTAAGCAATGAATAATTGAGCAAATTTCGCGTTGTAAAAACACGATCGATCAAATTTTTAAACGTTTAAGGAAATTGCGTCCGTATTTGTTACAGTGTGACATTTATGGCGATAGGTAAATTAGCGGCGCGTAAGGTGCGCGGTCTTATTAAGTCATAATTGTGGCGAGCGCAAAAACTTACGCCCGGTTTCTGAAACACTGATCATGATAGTAGTTAACTAATCAGCTGTCAAATGACTTTCCAAATATCATTTGAGTTGCCAAAAATGGTTAAACTCTTTGAATTGATCATTCCGATCATTAAGAATATCATTCTGATCAATTCAGACAGTTTAATCATCCTTTTGACAACTCAAATGATATCTGAAAAGTTTAATAGATGATTAGTTAACTCCTACGATGATCAGAGTTTCAGAAACCGGGCGTTAGGATTGGGGAAAAAGGTCTAGCGGCCATCTGCGACCTTTGCGTAATTCCACGAGCAAACGTAGTTACTCCGCGCCTCGCAAAAAGATTCCGGCTGTGTCGTGTTGTTTTCCGAAATGGACGATTCGCGAATTACCGGTTTCCGATGTCTCTCCGATCGAGATTTGCGTTTCAATGACGCCTCAAAGTAACAGTTGTCGCTTAATAAAATGGTTGCCTAAATGGTTTGGTGATATTTGACTTATTCAATTGTGAGGAAAAAAACCTCTTCTTATTTTTATTAAGGTAAATACTTTAATTAAAACTTAGAATAAAATTCTTAGTTTTAATTAAAGCATTCTAAGTTACTTAAGTAGAAAGCAGCGCCATTATTAAAGCTCGATCGAATTTGTACAAATCTCACAGTTTTTGATGTTTGAACAGGGCATTTAAAAAAAAAGTCAATAAATTTAGTGCTTCGAAACATTAAAATATGTAGAAAGCTTCGAATCAGTTGTGAAAAAGGAGCGACAATTTTGAATGTTATACAGGATAGTAAACAGAACAATTATTAAAATTTTCTAAACGTATCAAAGACCGGTAAAAAATGCATGCTTTATTCATTTAACAAATCAACTACACCTTTGCAACTTAAAATACCACAGTATAGTTTTTTGACGCACAATTTATAGTATCCTAACTGCTCCGAGTATGCCTCACCTGCACAGTATGTGCAAAAAGGAGGATTTTCCCACACCGATACTATCAATATATAATTATTTATCACTAGAAACTCAGTACTTGTGAGGTCATAATAGCTTTTTATAGAGTACCGAAAGTCTTTACGAGCCCATCGGATTGCCAATTAAATTGGGGGTTTCCCGAACAGCAGTTGTTGCTAAAATAGAGAGCGTTCCCTTTATAAAAACCACACATATGAGCTGAAGCCTTTAGTCGTATTCAGGTTGACAGATATGGTTTATAATTTTAGGGTTAGAGCGCTGGCCTTTCACTTAGTACGCCCGAGAAACATAAATTGATATTCCAGTACCAGCATAGATTTAATTGTTTACTGCAAGTTCCTTTATCCAAGTTTCATCCGCTGCCATATAGCGAACACGTGTTTTAACCTTATCCACGTATCATCCGCTGATTTGTTCCGGAAGATGCGGAGTGCGTCACACGGGCCGTTGGCTGGGTGCGTTTCTATTCGCTGGATAAACGAGGCTAACCGACTACCGCTATTGCCAATCGATCGCCGGCGGGCGCGGGGCGCGGGCGTCGACGATTTTCGCCCAATCTCGCGCATTTCCTGCGCCGCGCTCGCTTCCGTTTCGCCGGAAACGAACCCGGCTCGCTAGCGCCCGTTCGCTGAGAGCGTTCGCCCAACGAATTCGCGAATAATGCATGCCCGCGTGTAATACGCTAACGGTAAAAGTTGTGTCTCCCAGTCAACTGTTTATTGCACGTATTTTATAGTTAGGGAAGGCCCGTCCGGGTAAGTACCACGACCTCACAGAAGACCGGCGTAAAGTGGAAGTGTGACAAATACTTTCGCGTTTCGTCTGGTGAGTGAGGTAGCCGGAGCCCAATTTTCAAAAGGTTGTCAACGCATCTGGAACCCTCGGGTGTAGCAGATGTCCATGGGCGGTGGTATTCACTTAACATCAGGTGACCCGTCTGCTCGTTTGGCAATTTTTCACATTAAAAAAAATATCAAAATATATTTTTCTTATCAGATCGGGTTGGGGGGGGGGGGGGGGGGGGGGGGGGTTCGGTTATTCTTGACTTTTGATCATTCTGATCATTGAGAAGATCATTTCATCAGATCAGGGAATTTAAACATCGTTTCGGCATCTTAAATAGCATTTGAAAACCCATTTGACAGCTGATTAGTTAACTTCTACGATGGTCAGTGTTTCAAAGACCGGGCGTGAGTCTGTCCCGTGATTGTGTACGCTGGAAAGTTTCAAAACGGCGGGAATAGAACATTAAAATTGAAACGCTACAGTTAAAATCCGTAAAACAGTTTAATTTAATACGTATAAAATTTGCGTAAAAACAAGAAATCAATATATATAGAACATTAGATCTGTTCGCAGAAGGTTGAACTGTGTACCTTCAAGCATGCGGTGTACCCTCGCTTTTAGCCATATTATAATGACGTGGCGTGACCTTCACGGACGCTGGCAATGACTCGAGCAAATAATGAGTTTGGGCTTTTTACACAGTTCGTCGGGACGTGCAAGGCCAGTCATGTAACTAGGGCTGCTCTACACACTAGTGATGTCCGCAGTTGGTGTTTGTATTTAATAAAAAATCAATTTATTGTTGTGTTATATATAGACAACATATTCCCAAATTATTATTATAATAAAATCATATTGAAATATTTTAAATGACTGATACATGAGTACATCTGCAAGCCAAAACAAATCTAATATCTTTATTCATTATAGAAGCATTATACTTACTTATCCAAGTACGTAATGTACGACATATATGACGATAACAGCAGCAGATATGTAAGGAATGAAATTTTCGAAAGGTCTATATTATCCGCAAGGACGAAAACAGACCGTTAAAAAAATGTTCTCTCCAGATAAGTATTTTATCCTTTAATCTTTTTGCTATAATAAAAAGCCTAATTAACTGACTTAATTCCTAGAAGTATCCTTCAAAATAGTGACAAGAGGGCTGGTTCTCTTCTCCGTCTAAGGTTAAACACTAACTATTCAGCGAGGAAATGTAGCTAGCGTCTTTGGCATAATGCCACGTGGACTAGTTCACTATAATTATATAATATGTAATTTAGTTACTTACATTTAATGTTGTAAATATTTTGTATAATAAATCAACTGGCTGAATATTATAAACGGATATATTGCATTGACCGGTTCACGCGCGTCACTAACCGCGACATCGGACGCTCGGCAAAAAGTGCGATTACAACCGCACTAGATAATCGCATTACAGAAATCGAGGCTATTATCAGCTTGTACTGCTTGTACGCTGCGGCGTCAAGTGCGGCCGAGCGGAGTAATTGCAAACCTTCCCTCCCTCGTATAACCCTGAAGTTGCCCATTTGATTCATTTTGCCATTAAAGAACAACAGGAAGAAATTACATTTCAACTATTTTTTAATACTAGGAGCATATGTTAAGCAGGTATAAATGCTGAATGTTAATTTTATGGTCACTTATAATTACGATATGTAGAGAAAAGCCCTAAGTGTGCTATGAGGCTGTTGATCTGTAAATATTTGCAAGAATTAATTTTAATCGGAATTTAATTGTAATTCAACTCAGCTCAGCCCGATGCCAAACGGAACGCAATCGATTGCCGAACAGGTGAGTTCCGGAAGTTTTTCAATTCGCGACCCCAACCCCGCGGCGAGCGATTGAAACAATAACGGCGGGGAGGCGCAAAGTCCCTGAGGAACCCCCACGCCGTCACTAGCCTGCCGACCCCACATCTCGCGCTGTATTGATTCGATTTCGCGAACTCGACATGAGCGATGTGAGCGGGAAGGACGGGTATTCCTTTATGGAGTTTCAATCTTATTTTCGAGTTGCCTTTAGTAGTGGACGCCGCGATACCTTATTTGTAAATGTGCGCGATGTTGGCAAATGTGTGTGTATTATTAACTATCTATCATACAAAACCTTTTTATCTATCCAACAAAACTTCGCAGATTCATATGATTGCCGATTTGTTTATTCAAATTAAATTATATGCTTCCTCCGTATTAATCAACAAAGTGAAAATGATAATTTGGGTGCTGAAATTGCTAAACGGGATAAGTATTTATTGGGATAAGTATCTACTTAAACTAAAAGTAATTGTGAGGCATCTAAGAAAATTCTATCATGTAAATTTAATATCATTGTTTCGCAGGATTATCTATTAAATGAATATTTATGAAAAAAAAATGATTTTTCAATTAATTACGAAACTCGAAAGTATTAAAAGTTATTTCGTTGCCAAAGTAACTTCTATTAGAAGGAGATGAAAGATGCTATGAAGAGAGACATGTGTAAGTAGAACGAACACACAACACAGTTACAACGTAAGGGATTTTTTTAAGAAGAGAACAGATTATACAAAGAAGAGTATCGATGTGCTCCTAGCAATAGGTCGTTGTTATCCACCACTGTAGAAATACCACGGCCTCACAGAAACTCGAGATAGTGTAAAATTTTATATACTTTTGTATGTTGTAGTGTTTGGAGTGACCGGAGTAGCGCAACTGCATCCCTACGGGTTTGATGCGTATCAATTAGTTGGGGTCATCACTCAACTTCAGGTAAATCAACTGCTCATTAGCCAAATAATATTTAAAAAAAGAACCAAAAAACAGGCTTTAATAGTAAACCGAACCAAAAAGGAAAAAAAAATTTATGTAAGTATAAAGTAATTACCGGGAAAAATAATGCCGTTATTTAAAAACGGCGGCTGATATTTAGTCGTTATTTTATCTGAATGTAGTAAAAAGCCAGTTTTTTTTTTAAATTAAAACTATCAATTAGTTTTAATTGTTTTTAGGTTCACTATCATTATTTTTCGTCTTAACTATTATTAGTGGGTAATACATGCCATGTCAAGCCCTTGGGTGTCATAGCCGTTTCTCGGGCTCCTCACCGGAAGGCGATCGTTAATGTAGATAATCTTGTTAAGGATAAACTTATTATTGTATTGTCATCGGTCCTTTATAAGTGAGCAAAATTAAAAATTAATTTGATGTTTTGATGTAGCTGAAAATAGCGTTCGAAAATTCCCTTGCAAACAAACAGGTGAAGCTAATAAAAAAGCGTGTTAACTAGTGTTAAAAACGCTTTGTTTCAATCGAATCCAAGACCCTACATAGTGCTTTGACTATAACGTAAGGGGGTCGTTAAAATAGACTCCCTTGCTAATAGACCTTGACGAATGATCGAGCTCTTTGTATACTTCAATAGAATAACATCGCAATAAAAATTTCAGCATGATTTATTTAATTTAACTCGTAAATGGTAACTAATTCGTTTACCAATCGATTGGATATTAAAATATGATAAACGAAACTCAAACGCAAACGCTTAAAAATACTTAATTTGAATAATATTAGGAATGAAATCGTCAATTCTAAACCGATGAAAACACGATACGGACGTCGAGAGATTCGTCCGTCTGGTATATAATTTCAGTCGCCTCTCAGCGAAGGATGGGAGACACTTAGCAAGATGGCGGACGGTTTATAGAACAAAAAGAGGCCAGGCATTATACGGAAGCACTCGTAGAACCCCTCATTATGTTGTTGAGACGCAATGGGTATCTGTTGATGAGGCTAGGCGCCCACCCATTGCACGAGACGCTGCATAAAAAAGGAGAGTGCCGCGTCTATACCTGTTGAGTCCTCGTTAATGTAATTATAAAAAAAAAACGCATAAAGTGGACCGTGGATGTGTGCGTCGTGATTTTATGTTTCGGATTTCTTACGCGCAGAAATCGGGCTGAATTCTTCGCTAGTAGCACGTTCGGGACTTTAGCTCGGCGGAAAGTATACGGTATAAAGTAGAAATAGGTAATACTAGTTTTTCTATTCTGCAAAACTAACATAAATGATAGTTATGTTAGTTTTGAAGAATAATTAATGATTGAATTATTTTAACTTTTTGAACTTAATTAAGAAAAATGTTTGCAGCAATAAAAACAATGATTATTACAATATATTTTATTGTAATAATTATTGTTTGTACGACTGTAAGTATCCTCAGCAATAGAATCCAAACAGTTGCCAATAGATGGCACCTTTGACATTCTTTTGGCTTTATTAGTTCTTAAAAAACAATACTTTGTAATTAATATAGTTTAAAACTCATGTTAAATATACGGAAGACGAAGCTATTTTAATGTTACTAAGGCTTTTACTTCATATGCGTCTCATAATGTAACCATACATAGATTTTTATGACTTTTGATTAGTTTTTAAGAACCTCATACTTTTCTAAAAGCTCGTATGGTCACATGGTATAAATAGTATAGTATAAAGAAAGGGTAAATATTTTTTATTTGACAAATATAAACATAATTAAATATTTATTGGTAAAATTCAAAGACGGGACATGTCAAGTTTGAAAGCAAATTAGCGCTCCGCTATTGAGTGGCAAGTGAGCACGGATCCAGGTTCGATACCGAACTGGTGACAAGCGACAGCTTGCTAGCAAAATAATAGGACATGCCATGTACGCGGACACGTCAAGCGGTAGTTAGCGAGTAAATGGCCGAGGGGAGTGTACCATCAGCTTAGTATATACTCTATACCACTGTATCGGTGAATTGGTATCGTTAAAATACTAAAAATTCTCGCGAAATCACACGTTTTCGCTACAGACATAAGAAGAAAACACAAGTGAATAGTTATACCTCTAAAAATATTGATTTCTCCGTGAGTTGGGAAATAACTATTTAGGACACATTTGTACACAACATTTTCTAGTCCCAAACTAAGCAAAGCTATGGGTACTAGAAAACTGATAAACATACTTAAACATACTTTTCTTTTGTAAATAAATACATATTATACATATAGAAACACCCAGACACTAGAAAAACACCATGTTCATCACACAATATTTTCCAGTAGTGGGGATCGAACCCACACCCTCTGGCGCAGGAGGCAGGTACACTACCCACTACGCCATTCGGGTCGTCAGTTGGGAAATGTTAGTGGTGTTTTGCAAGGATTCTGTGCCGTTTTGTAAACAATATTCAACACACTCTTTACTAAATGATAAGACAGCTGGACTTCACTCGCGTCACCCGCGATCTCGTCCAGTCACCCTGATTAGAACCTCCGATAGATTTGAAACTAGTAGATACATCGATTGGCCGTGAGTTCAGGTGTCTTATTATCTCGTAAATAATGTCTCAAGAAAGTTTTAAAACTTTTATTATTATTATATACTTTATTGTACACCACAAAGAATTTGATACAATTAGTATAAAATAAGTCTTAAAAGCTAGGTACAATAAGGCGGTCTTGTCGCTAAAAAGCGATCTCTTCCAGACAACCTTAGGACGAGGAAAAATAAACCAATGAATAGTGGGAGGTGGTGTGCTCAATAAACTTGCTGAATACCAAAATAGACTTAAATATAATAAAATAAAAAGAAATTATAATAAACATACATAAATAGATATATAATATATATGAATAACATAAATAAATTAACTTTTCATACTCTTAACGATGCGGAATTCGATAATTCTACTCGACGTTCACATTTTTCGTCACACGCGTGTGCGTGAGTTCCAGAACTAGTGATAACGTCTGAGATAGACGTGCCTTCGATAACAATCCAGCTAACTGGTTAAGTATCATAATCGGTACTTTATGATGGTTTACATTATTACTTTACCAATTTCTAACATTTTTCAGGCAACTTTAAAAAGATTGGAAGATTTTTGAAACCGTGTTTTCTGCCGAACTTGTGAAGAAAGAAAAATGATTAAACATGACAGCAGAAATGGTTTTTTCCCAAATTTCAAGAAAGTCCGTCTATCCGCCATATAGGTTTCACATACTATGTTATATTAAATCATATACTAAGTCTGAAGTAACAATTTAGATATTCCAACAGTCAATCCATAAGCTGGATGTCAGTCGAACGAAATCATTGAATATCGACAAACAAATAATTTCTATCGATAAATAATTCCTCCGTTGGTAAGTTCGTTTATGCACAAACCATAAACATGGACACGCAAGTTGCCTATCGACAATCCGCGCTCGGACACTACGTTAGTGACGCGCCTATCGATATTGGGCGATTGGACGTGCGAAGGTAATTTTGTACGTAACACGGCTAGTGCTTTCGAAATAATTTCAGTGTTTATCGGAAGTAACGGCGCGGTTTATCGCGGACGCATCAGAAAATGATGACATTCGGATTACACTCGTTTCGTATCGGAACATGACGTTCGACGATGGTGCGTGACACACTGCCGCAGCGGACGTCGAGTAATGTGTTTCAGATTTGTTTCGATATATTTTTGATTTGTTATTATCAATGTAGTAGTGGTATTCTAAGGAATGAAAACCTTGTTAAAATA